AGTACCTCGCGAACTTGCTCCCCGAATGTCGATCTTACGTAAGGACATTTATCCGTCTTCGTCGTTCTCGAGGCAAACGGAGCGTGGAACATCGCAGTAATCGACGATAATACGCACGTAGCCGAATCGCGAAGAACGACGCAAACCTATCGTTATCATTCGACGATTCCTACCTCTCTTTTTGCTCTTTCTCTTCTCTTTTCGCGGCGAATGAACGGGAAAATATCGACACCAACGATGAGTGACCCCACCCTCCCATCGCGCGCTTCACACTCCTGTGCATCGCGAGGGACTCTTCCGTCCGTTCGCGGAAACAATAAAGTACTCCCAGCAGGATATTCGACGGGCGGATTACGGTGCGTCTATCGAGAGTCTCGCTAATCTCCTTTCTTTTTCACCACGTCCTGCGCGACCCGTCCGCCCGGAATTCCAACGCTAATCCGGGATTGCGTGGTACGATGCGACTTTCGTCGAACCGTGCAGAACAGAGAAAGAAGGAGGGGGGGAGAGAGAGAGATTCTTGCTCGGTCTTTCTCTCTCTCTCTCTCTCTCTCCCCTGGAACACACGGAGATAGAGAGAGAAACTGGCCGAAAGCGAGAGCGGTGGAGTGTCCGCGCGCCGGAGGAGGAATAAGTTAAGCGCCCCCTTCGTGTGTATGTAGTGCGGGTAGCGCGCGGGGCGCCGCGGGATGAATAATAATGAGCGACACATCCACACGGAAGGTCCTGGAGCGCGGCGGTCGCTCACGAGCGCGCGGGAACACCTCGTCGGGCGCCTTTTCGTAAAAAGGCCGTTAAGGTGCTACCTTAACGATCCCATGGGCCCCACGCCGCGGAGGGGGTTTCAGGGAGCCACGCGGAATGCAGACACGTAATGCTCGTAGAATGCGCCCGGGCCGCCGACCGCGGGGGAATTATTAGTGGGTCCGTGTGAGACCCCCTGAATGCAGCGGGCCCTCCAACAAGTTCATACGTGCACCGGATATATATATATATATATATATGTGTGTGTGTGTGTGTGTGTGTGTGTGTGTACACATATGTACATGCGTGTGCATATATATATGCATATACGCATGCGTGCACGGGTGCGCAGATACGAGCGGCAGGTACGAACAGGGACCTGCCTGTTTGCGCCGGTCTCACGGCGCCCGCGTGCCCCAAGAGCGGGTCTTCGCTTTTGGCCCGTGCGATTTGGCGCTCCCTTTGTTCGCGATTCGAACCAGCCCCGCAAACCGACGCGCGATAAAGCTCTTGCGATTACGCCGAGATTACGGGGGCACGACGGGTATCTTAAGGATACCTCTCAATGGGACAAGAGAAGGAAAGAAGAAAGAGATACGATCAGCCGCGGTGTGGAAGACGCAAGTTGTCACGTTGTTGTATCATTGACCCTTTAACGACGCATTTATCGCCGTAATCGCGGCTCTTCGTTTAACATAAAAAGATCAGATGTTTGTCAAGCAGATTGGCCTGTTAGAGTAGCGGAGGGATCCACTCTCGCGAGAGTAAATCGCGTTACCCGAGATATATCTGTGCCGGCGGTCGCAGTTTCTTTCTCTCTCTCTCTCTCTCTCTCTCTCTCTCTCTCTCTCTCTCTCTCTCTCTCTCTC